GCTATTCCACAACAGATCCTCAGTGGATGTTTGAACTGAAGTTAATCACAAGCAATGCGCACAACTGACATTCTGTGTTCATTAAACGCAACGGAAACAGGTGCCTCTCCTGCCCAATGCACCCTGCTGCCCCATGTATCAGGGACACTGCTTGTGCTTGGGTGACACCAGCTGGGAACTCTTGGCTGCCTCAACTGTGCCCAGGGTGGTGGGGCATCTCTGTCTGACCTGCAGAATCCAGAACCGGCCTGGGCTTTTAGCCTAATTGTCCTTAGCTGTCGCATTTTGATGGGTCACAGATTTAAATAAAGCTAGGCACCTCCCTTCTTGTTTAAGAGCCTCCAATCTAAAATGGGTCAGTCAGGGGTCCTGAAGACCCAGTGCACACGGACCCTTTAGAAGAACTGCTTTTCTGGTTAGGTTTGCTTCCCCCAGAGGGGAAAAGCTAGTGCATTAAGACACTGCCCTAACATCCATTTCCATGGGAAAGGAATCCCCTTTTCATCCACTCACTAATCCTTTTCACAATACCTGTGAGAGACATAGGAATACTATTCCCTTTTTACAGGAGGAGAAACCGAGGCACTGAGAGGACACTCAGCCAAGGCCACAATGGGAGTCAGTCACTCCCATGATGAATGCTAGGGAGTCTTTAACAAACCGAATAAGGACCAGGGCTTTTTTTTTTTTACTAGATTGTCTAATCACCGTTATCATTTTCAAGTATCCCAAAGGTACACTATTGCTCCATGCTTCCTTATAGGCCACATCTGCTAGAAGTGACTGATTTTTGCTCTTCCCTTGGGTAAAGATTTTACTCTAGCTTCAATTTTTCTCTATAATACTCCTCCCTCTCCACAAAATGAAACCTCCAATGTGTCTCATTATAAAGTCCTGTCTCCTGCTGCACGTAGCCAAGGGGTGTGCTGGATATTCACAGCAGTACATGCTGATCATCATTGGATTGCTTGTTTACATATGCTCAACAGTATATTTCTTTAAACAAAGGAGATATGCATTCACTGTGTTGTTGAAAGAAGGTTGTTTTTACAGCCTGACCCTAAATTTGAGCTCCAAGGATTCTACATTTTATGAAATCAAAAACAAGAAAATGCAATGCAAACAAGAAATAAACCTCGATAAATACAGCCATGTGCCTGTGCTGCTATTGCTTAGTTTGAGTTAGCACCTTTTTAATATAAATATAAGCCCTATTTTTCAGGAGTATAACTTGGCTGGAATACTATTCTGCCTTTAAATCTTAAAAGTGCTCCCCAAATATTACATCATTCTTATAAAAACCTACAAGATAGGTGTGTATTAGCCCCCGTTTTACAGATGGAGAAACTGAGGCAGAGAGGTTAAGTGACTTGCTTATGGCCACAAAGTGACACAGTGGCAGAGCTGGATTAGAGTGCAGGAGTTACTGTTAGTTCTGTACTTAATCTATTAGGGGTTCTCACACTGTGGTCTGTGGAGTACTTGCTGGTGGTCTATGGGAAGCTGTCAAGTCACACACTTTTGGCTCTGTTTCCAGCTCAGAGCACCATGCCAGCTGAGAAGGGAGATGAAATGCAGAGCATAAATAGATAGTGTGATTCTTTTCAGGAAGGCCATAACACTTAGCAATCCAAAAGCAGCTACAAATTCTTTCCTGATTATGTTGCCAGGACGACGGAGGTGGTCTGTGAAACCAAGAATGGAGGAGGAGGGGTGTCACGGAGGTAGTCCCATACAGCTCCCTTGTCAGAAGGGATGGGAAGTGAAGCTATGGGCCAAACTCAGGGTACGTCTATACCCAGCCGCTAGTTCGGCGGCTGGCAATCGAACTTCTGGGTTCGACTTATCGCGTCTTGTCTGGACGCGATAAGTCGAACCCAGAAGTGCTTGCTGTCGACTGCGGTACTCCAGCTCGGCGAGAGGAGTACCGCGGAGTCGACGGGGGAGCCTGCCTGCCGCGTGTGGACCGAGGTAAGATCGAACTAAGGTACTTCGAACTTCAGCTACGTTATTCACATAGCTGAAGTTGCGTACCTTAGTTCGATTTGGGGGGTTAGTGTAGACCAAGCCTCAGTGCTGCTTCTAGCAGCATTAGATAGCAGGTGTAATTCATCGAAGCAATCCAAGCATAGAGTAGAACATGTCAAGCAGAGTAGCTGCTCTCCATCTCCACTCCTATCCAGACGTGCCTCCCCTTGACCCATGGAGTCCCAGCTTCAGGTCTGAGCACAGAGGGACCTCAGCAGGCTGCTGGAATTGCAGGTGTATGGACTCTCTGAGCCTGTACATTTAAATGCCAAAATACCAAGTCTTAAATAAACAGAGGATTAATTAAATAAATAAATAATCCTCCATTGCACATGGGCAGTCATTCCCTTCTCCCTGAAAGCTAGAATTTCGTACACATGTTTAGTACGTAGTGTACCACGTACATGTCCAGTGATCGGAAAGCAAGTGAAAACTGACATACTAACACATAACGGCAACATTAGCTAGCAGGTCAGAGCATATGCATTAGTAATGGTCTCTTCGCTAAGCACACAGACCAAAATTCACATTTGTCACATAGGCAATTTAATTACAAAGCACTGGATTGACTCGGACGCCTATGTTGGCTTCTTTCTTTCTATATACCTGTTGGTGTTTGTTTCCCCACCCCCCTCACATGTTAGAAGAAACAGGGGCCTACTCCCACATGCCCATGGCAGAGTTTTTTACACTTTATCACGTCAGTTTTCAATATCCTTAGTTAGATCATCTCTTTTAAAACTGTGCCTTGGGTTTTGTTGATAGGATCACAAGAAGGAAACAGATAACTAAGTGTTGATTTCCTGAAGAATAAACACAGAGATTCATTGTGTATTCCACCACTTCCAATTTAAAAGACAACCCATGTTAACATTATACTGTTAATAGCCTAGAAGTGACAATGCTAAGATTGTCCATACATCTTTAACTCTGCCGCCATGTGGATATGCACTATGTTACCATCTTTAATTACATGATTATATTATTTCTCAACAATATCATGCTGTTAATTCTAGAATCTAAGAGGTGTAGCATCTTGTAATTCCTTTCATTCCTGTACATTCATTGTCAATCTATCTAGCACATCAGTGCACTGTGGTAGAGCAAAGTTTCTTAACGACCAGTCCATGGACCAGACTGAGAGTCTGGAGATCTGGTTCTATTCTCAGCTGTGATACTGACCTGCTGTGTGACTTCAGGCAAGTCATTTCACTTCTCTAAGTCTGTTTCCTCTCCCACACTTTGTATGTATTGTCTATTTGATTATAAGCTTTGGGACAGGGACGGTCACTAGCACAATACAACCACAAATCTCAGCTGGGGCCTGTAGCTACTACCCTGATACAAACAAATAAATAAATAATTGACTTAGGTACAGGCTCTTTTCTATCTTTAGAAGACACAATCCTGCAAACACTTCATCCTGCTACTAATTTTTCTTACGTCAGTATTCCTATTGAATTTAAGTGACTAAAATTACTAACAGGCATTTTTACAGGACTGAGGCAGTTTGTCAGCAGCCTTCCTGGGGTGCAATTCAGAGGCGGCAGTTAAAAAGCTTATTTAGCTGGGGGGGGGAAAAATCAGATGGCCTATATGTCAGTTAAGTTTCCCTTTTACTCTGTAGTATGTTGTGTAAGAACAGTTAATGGTGCACTCTTCATATAAATTGTTTTAATAGTCTTCTTAATTGGCATGCACATTGTTCTACACAGATGCACATAAGATTGTAAAATACGGTTATATTTGAGAAATCATCTTTAATTACAGTCACATAGTGGATATGCACAAGGCATGTTACATGTGCAACCTTAACTTTATCATTTTGACCTTTTTGTGCTTCAATGCAATCCTATAGTCTCTTAACAGTTGGTTTTTTTATAAAACTTCCTAGGCAGGGTTTTTTGTTATGTTTTTTGTTTTCCTTTTTAAGAAAGAAGAAAGCTAGTAACAATTCCTGTGCTCCTGTGATAACATGGAACTATTTGACTGTACAGGGTCAGAATATTTTAAATATAAATGCAGAAAATATACATTTCTGCCACACTGCAAAAAAAACTAAACTGTTTGGGGGATTTTTTTTGTTTTGCACTGAAACTTTCCAAAAAGATTCACTTTTGGGCACAGAACAAGCCTGGTAATTCAGTCCAAAGGTGGAAGTTCTAAAGCAGTGACAAAACAAAGGGTCAGAATGCAAACGCTTATGCAACCTTCATATGTTGCCTATGCCCCCCAGTAAAATATTTCCAAGCTTTCCTCTTTCTGGAAATGTTTGTTTCACTCTGGACAGCAATGGAGCTTTTTTATTTAATTTGGTTTTCATGATTCACTCCCTGGGGATATCTTTGCAAGAATGGAAGACATATAATATACATGCGTCTGATGAAGTGGGTATTCACCCAAGAAAGCTTATGCTCCAATACATCTGTTAGTCTATAAGGTGCCACAGGATTCTTTGTTGCAATATACAGGTTATAACCCAAACTTCCTCCCTCTCCCCCAAGTTACATCGGCTGCAAGGAGACACCTAGATTTAAACAGCATGCAGGTTCTGATATAAACCAACCAAAGCCAAGCAGCAGAAAGGGGAGTTCCCAATGCACCGCTGCTGGCAGAAGCACTGCAGGAGTGACAGCCTGGACTGGAACTTGCTCCTACAGCAGACAGACAATCTAATGTCTTCTATTTAAACAAGATACTTTCACCGTGGCGTTTCTAGGGCATCCCTGCCCCTGCCGTGTGTGTGTGTCCCTGACACCAGACAAAGTTACATACAGTTCCCTTTGCGGTGCCAGGCCCAGGAAGACCTTAGATCTGGTTACGGGGTGATTTTTGTGCAAGCCACTTATCCCTCAGTCAGCCACCTTCCATCAGTTCCCCTCCCCGACTCTGCCACCCCAGACGCCGCTCAGAGCCCAGCGGGGCCGGGGAGAGGCCAGTCTCGGGGAGGGGGGGGACCGCTGCCCTCTTACCTGTTTTGAACTCCAGCGTGGGGTCCTTCTCGCCGCCGCCCAGATCGCTTTGCAGCATCACGTAGAGGATCCCGAAGGAGTTCTGGATGCCGAAGATGGACCCGTTGCACCAGGTGGCGGCGAAGACCACGATCCAGCCGAAGCCGCCTTCGGGAGGCTGGAAGCCCGACCCGGCCCCCTGCAGCCCCATGGCCGCGGCTGCCTCACCATCCTCCTCCGCCTTGGCCCCCTTCGCTTCGGACACCGCCTGCTCCTGCTTGTGCAGCGCCATCTCGGCCGGGCTGGGGCAGGGGCTGCAGCCGCCGCCGTTGCCTCTTTGATCCCGGCTGCGGAGCCCGTCCAGCACCTGGTCCCACATGCCCTCTCCTCCTCCCGCTCCGCTCCCCCTGTCATCCCTCGGCTCGCCTGCTCCTCCTCCGCCCGCCGCCGCCGGCTGGTGCCTCCTCCCCGCCTCTCCTCCCCCAGCTGTATCCTCCTCCATCTCCCGGGCGCCGCCGTGCAGCGCCCTTCACCGGCGGCTGCCGCAGGCCAGGGAGACAAGGCGGGTTAGTGCGTGAGGGGGACCGGCCCCAAACTGGAGGGGGGCGGGGACAGCCGCGGTACACAAGCCCTCCGCCCCCGCGGACGCAGCGCTCCCCGCCCTCGCAGCGTGGGGAGAGGGTCGGGCTCAGCGGCCAGCCGGGTCCAGACCCCCGCCGGGCGGATCCGACTCTGCGCCTGGATCTTGGTTTTCTCGTGGTGTGGGAGGGGGAAGGGGGTCTTCTGCCCAGCTTCCCCCACCTCTGATTTCCTGCCTCCCCTCGCACGGTAAACAACGCAGGAGTCGGTGTGTCCCTGCGGCGGGCGAGCTGCGTCCGCACACGCGCGCAGAGCCCCGGGATCTGCTCGCTCGTGCTCCCAGCCCGCCGGGTGAATCCCCACGCAGAAAGCAAAGGGGCCAGCTCCCCTTCCCACAGGCTGCAGAGGGGAGCCCTGCGCCCGCCCACCTCCTGCTGGGGGGGCGGGGGAAGAGACGGGCTTTAAAAACAACCGCCGCCCCCTTCCTCCCCAAGAGTGTAATTCAGCTGCCCCAGCCCGCAAACGTCTCCGACCGAGCGCCCTGCCTAGGGCAGTTCATTGGCAGCGCCCGCCCGCCCGGCGCCGCCCCCTTTGGAAGTCAATCAGGGCATTGTTAGTGGAGCGCAGAGCTGCACGGCGTAGGGCCCGGAGCCGCCGCACGGGCTGCCAAGACTCCCCCCGCCACCCCTGGGCAGCCAGCTGGCAGGGGCGGCAGGTTTGTATAACTTTTGGTGGTGCTCAGAAGGGGCCCAAGTCCCGCCCCCCCACACACACACACCTGCCTAAGGCTCTGGGAGGGAGTTGGAGCGAGTTTGGGTGCGGGCTCTGGGTTGGGGCAAGGAGTTGGGGTGCAGGAGGGGCTGTGGGGTGCAGGCTCGGGGAGGGAGTTTGGGAGGGGTGAGGGGTTGGGCTCTGGGAGGGAGTTGGATGCAGGCTCTGGGCTGGGGCAAGGGGTTGGGATGTAGCGCTTATCTCGGGCAGCTCCCAAAAGCGACCCACACACCCCTCTGGCAGCAGCTCCTAGGCTGTGGGGCTAAGGGGTTTCCACATGCTGCTGCCTGCAGTCACCACCCCCAGAGCTCCCATTGGCCGCAGTTCCCAGCCAATGGGAGCTACAGAGTTGGCGCTCAGGGCGAGGACAGTATGCAGAGACACACACACATGGGGCCACAGGGACGTGCTGGCCACTTCCAGGTTTGGTGTGGAATGAGGACGGGCAGGAAGCCGCTTTAGCCTGGGGGCCCTTTTGAATTGCCTTGGGGCGGCAGGCGGGGCCGGGGAAGAGACCCGGCCCCAAACATTGGTGGAGCTGTGCCTCCGGACCCTTAATATTCCTGGAGCACGGGCACCACGGACCCATATAACTCGCTGCTCCTGCCAGCTGTGTAAATGCCCCACCTCACCACAAGAGACCTGTGCCTTGCCAGGGCAGGGCACTGTGCCTTCCCCACTACCTGCAGCTGAATCCTCCCTGAGAGCCCCAGTTCCCACCCCTGGCACATGGGGCCGGTGGAGAGACTGCAGTACCGAGGGCAAGTGAGGTGTGTTAGGGGCCAGCCCAGCAGATGGGTTTGAGGCACAAGGTCCTGGCTGCTGGATTCATAGCAAGTGATTGTTATTATTTTGCCAGTTTCCATACGGTGCCGCATGGGTGTTCATAGTCCGTAGAGGCGTCCGTAGAGGCATCCATAGAGGCTTGTAGGCCTGATACAGCAAACAGCTTCACACATGATGTAGGACTACTCACATCAGGAAAGTTACTAGTCAGTATAAGGATTCACAGGATCAGACCCTATCTTCGTTCCCATGCCTAGATAGTAGGGCAAATGTAGACATAGAAATCTGTAAATTGACAGGTGGCTGAGCCAGTGAGCTTACCAACCTAAGCCCCCAGTCCTGCAAGTGAATATGGGCTCCATGAACCAGCACAGACTTCATTGGACACAGAGCACGTGTACAGGTCTCTAGTGTTCAGCACTCTGGGCCCAAAGTGCTTGGGTGAGAGCCTTTTCCTTATACAGTGACAAACACGGTTCCAACTGCCTTTGTTTCATCACAGACATGGCCCTCTGCAGTGCTCCTCCCCCGGACTTCCTGTCTGAGAAGCTAAACCTCTTAAAGATACAGTCCCCAATACATTACAGCTTCCTTTCCCAGCCAAAACTTGATAATAGTAACACTTAACAACCCTTGTGTAATACACAATTTCTAATACTTATATCCAACCTACTAACTAAATTTACTAACTAAATTTTCAGTTGATCTCTGAAGTGCTTTGCACTGTTGCTTCGACATGTGGATCTCCTTTGAAATACCAGTCCATTTGTTCAGGCAGTTTTATGTTCTGGAGCTTTGTTGTCATGACCTGGTTGTTGCCTAACTGAGCCCTTCAGGCAAAACAGAAAACTCAGGACCCCTCTCTCCCTCCCTGCCTCCCTTTTGGAAGCAGGAGAAGGTGTTGCCCATTCCCCCTCAGCATATGTCTGTCTGGGGTGAAAATCGTAAGACTGAAGGGCAACCTCATGTGACGTCATGGATATTGCGTCATGTTCATGAAGTGGTAGCAGCGCCCAGGATTTCAAAACATATTGCTTTTTTGTTTTGGTTTTATCAGTGGCTATCATTACAGATAGCAGTTGGGTGAGGTAATATCTTTTATTGGACCAGCTTCTGTTGGTGAGAGAGACAAGCTTTCAAGCTTGCACAGAGCTCTTCTCTGTAACTTGAAAGCTTGTCTCTTTCACCAACAGAAGTTAGTCCAATAAAAGATATTACCTCACTCACCTTGTCTCCGAAATATCCTGGACCAACATGGCTACAACTACACTGCATCTATCATTACAGGCATTCTCATTCTCAGTTTTCTGTTAAACAAATGTCTGCAGGTAACAAACCATGTTTCATTTCACAGTGCTAAGTTCAGATCATATTCTGACTCTGCAATCGTTTTCAGTAGTTGCTTTATTATTTTAACACCACTCTCCACCAAATCAATGGACTGAGGATGATAAGCTAGCCCTTACATGTCTAAACCCAAACCTCACTGCAAACTACTTAAACCAGTGGTTCTCAAACCTTTGTACTGGTGACCCCTTTCACACAGCAAGCCTCTGGGCCACTTTTTAATATATTTAACACCATTATAAATGCTGGATGCAAAGTGGGGTTTGGGGTGGAGGCTGACAGCTTGCAACCCCCCATGTAATAACCTCATGACCCCCAGTTTGAGAACCCCTGACTTAAACTTATGTTCACTGAACTGCGGCCCATTGTCAGATGTTACTATGTCAGGTATACCATGTCTAATAAAAACAGACTTGACATGCACAATCACCTATTTAGCTATAGTGTCTTTGAGTAAAGCTATCTCAGAGAAGTGAGAATAATAATCTAGAATAAGTACTGTATATAGTTTTTTCCAATCAGCGTAAACGAATCTACATTTACTTTTCCCCAGAGGGCCAGTTTTTCCTGAGCTACCACAATGGGCTCTTTTGCTTGCCTTGGCCTTATTTTTGGCATATGCAATAAGCCTTGACAGGTTTCTCAGTGTCACTGTTTATTTCAGGGTAATATACAATGTTTCTAGCCTTTCTTCTAGATTTGTCATTCCCTAAATGACGTTCATGTATCCTTTTTATTGTACTTTTCGGTAACACCGTAGGGATCACCGTCTTTAAACAAAGATAGTGTCAACAAAATCCCATCTAGGCCTGAGAGTTCCCCCCCTTAATGAATGATAGGGGCTACCCTATGCTAAGAGCCTTAATCACTTGATGCAGGGTCTTAGCCTGAGCTGTTGCTTTGGCAATCACAGACCACATTTTGTCTGAGACTGGACAGGTTGTTTAATCAGATTGATCTGTACAAAATCTAGCTATGGACTTTGCACCCTTGCGCTTTTGTCAAATGCTCTAGAGAATTTATCTGCACCCCCAATCTCTCCCAGATATGTATTTGATTTGGAAAACATACATTTGTAGCAGAAAAAAATCTCTGTATTCTTTTGACAATGGCAATAAGTAACTGATAGTCACTTTCAGCTAACACAGGCCTGCCATAAATGAAGACATTCAAGTCTTTACACCCATGGCCTGAGACCAAAGCCTCCTTCTCTGTTTGAGCATATGACACTTAGTTTTTGTTAGCATTTGTGATACGTCACCCATTAGTCTCCTGTTTTGACCATGCTGTTTGTAAGAGGACTGTGCTAATACCTCCTTGGAGGCATCTGTGGACGACTTAGTTTTGCACTTCCCATTATAGTACCTCAGGACTGGGGCCTCTTTAATTAAGTCCTTCAGTTTCTCAAATCCTTTATTAAAATTTGCAGTCCATGTTCATTGGACGTCTTTGCACCGTAGCACTTTCAGGTTGCTGGTTTGAGCAGCTAGATTAGGCACAAATTTCCCTACATAGTTCACCATGCAGAGGAATCTTTGTACCCCTTCCTTGTCTGTTGGGGCAGGCGTGTTGGTGGTGGCTTCAGTCTTACGGTTCTCCACCTTTATACCATGCTGTGTTAGCTTCTCGCCCACGTATGTTATTTCTGTTCAATGGAATGTACATTTTTGTTTGTTTAGCTTTAGTCCAGCAGCTATTGCTCTTTCCAGAGCTGCCTGGACCCTCTGGTAAGGCGCTTCATTTTTTTTCTCCAGAACAAAACAGCAACTGTGTAGACTTCAGTATCCTCTCTACTATCAGAAATTTGTTGTGTTTTCTGGTGAAGCAACCCAAATGGCAGTCTGTGGAAACAGGGAGTGCTGAGTGTGCATGGACATGGGCACTGTTTTTCTCAGGGTGCCACCCAGAACCCTGCTTAAGCATCCAGTATAGAAAAATATTTGGCATTAGCCGTCTCCTCCAAAATTTCTCCCCTTGTAGGGAGTGGGAAATGTTCCATTTTTACATAATTAGTTAATTCTTTGTTAATAATTATTTTTTTACAATGACCAACAAGTATACCCACTCTATTGGTTCTATGATTCCCAGCATAAAGAGATGACCTGGCATCTCCTTTTCATCTTCTTTTTTAGGGATGGCGGGCTTAGCTAGGGCCTTCCCTTAGGAAAGTGTGGAAAACCGAAACATCTCAAAATGCATGAAGATGCAACTGGTGAAAAGCCAATTTTTTTCCATAGCAATTTATGGATGTGAATTGTGGGAAGTTAATGATGCTGACAAGAAGAAAACTGAAGCTTTTGAAATATGGTGCTGGCAAAGACTCTTGCATATTTTCTGGACAGAAAAAAAAGATGAATGTCTATGTTAGAAATATTATTGGAGAGAAGAAGACTCTAATGCCAGAAATCAGCAGCTGCAAACCTATGTACTTTAGTGATATTAGATGTAGAGATGGAAATAACCTTGAGAAAGTTATTATGGAAGGAATGGAGAGTCTTCGTAGTAGGAGATGACCAGCAAGGAGATGAATGATGGTGTGCAGCAGATTACTGCTGAGTGCTCAAAATTAGCAGTGGATCATGAAGGCTTCCA